TGTGAAAATGCTCCTTAAATAGTACCTTGCATATAGTAAGCACTCAGTAAATACTGGCTCAGATTATTATTATTATTATTAAATGTCTTAGCGAGTGCATTTAGTATGTCTATACATTGCGAATGAGAAAACCAAAGCTCTGGGAGGTGAAATGACTTTAATACGGGCACACAGCCAATCAGACTTTCTACCTCCATGCCCAGAGTTTCAGGGCCTTACAGCCATGGACACAGCCAGCTCCAGGTGAGGCCAAATAATTTTCGAGGAGCTTCGGAGATGAGACAAAACCACTTTCCAAGTGTTAGACATTAGCAAGCACCAAAGGAGAAGCAGAGGAAATAGCGTGACTTCTTTCCCTCTGTCCCCACATTCACGGAGCTCCAAGCACCAAATTAGGGACATCTTCCAAATACATTTCCAAATCAGCTTCCCTTTAAAGCAAAGCTAAAAAAAGACACGGCACTCTAAATGCCATCCCTTCCCATGCTGGTAAGCAGCTTATTTAGCCCAGTGTGTGGCCACCTTACAAGCCCAGAGAGGAGAGCCCGCTGCTGGGAATTATCTCTGGGAGGGGTGGGGAGCAAGTGAGTCGCAGGGATGGTGGGGAGAGAGGAGCAAGGGCAGGGCAGGGTCCCAGCGCAGGTGCCTATGCAGGGACAGGGATCCCTGCAGGGAAGGGGGAGGGGCAAGGTGAGAGATGCAAGGGGTGGGCATGAATTTTCAGGGCTGTGGAAACTAGAGGCTTAGAGTTTGAAGGAGATAAAGTGTTTAGTCCAACTCTCATCATTTAACACATGAGAAAACTGAGGCCTTGGAAGAATAGGAAAAAGAAGCTTTTAAAAGTGAAAGTCCACCTACAAGAACTGTTTTTACAGAGATTCCTTGCCAGCCAACCTACAGAGTCCCCAAAGTGATGGAGTGCAGGTGGTACCTTTATTTTTTAAGAGGTGAGGAAACTGAGGAAGAAGACAAGAGAAGAGGAAGCGTCTTCCTAAAGTTCACACAAGAAGCTGGCCCGAAAGCTAAATTTAGAGCCTGGTCTTTACGTCGTGGGTTTCCTTTACTTCAGTCCCATACCTCTTCCCACCCCACAAGGCCAGAGTAGAAGGTTAGTCCACTACTCTATCTCCCAAATTCACAGGGCAAGAGTGTCCTCTTTCTGTAATAATAGGGAATGTGTCCATTGTCAGTGAGTTAGAGCCATTTATGTCTTTTGAGACTAAGAAAAAACAGAAAAAAAGTGTGAAAATTAAATTAGAAAAGATGAATTTTTAAATTGGAAAAGATCTAATTCCGTAGAAGGAACTAATGCCCAAAAGGGTAAAGTAACTTTTTAGCGGGTGGAAGGGTAAGCTGTGTAAAGAAAGCAGCAAGGGCTCAGAAGCCCATGTGACCTAGATACTCATTCCTCATCCCAGGATAGACCTTTACCAGCCAAGCCTCCTCGGGTGGGTCATTTAGCCTCTATACGCCTCTATTTCTTTGTGTGTAAGATGGCAGTATATATAACCTCTTCATATCGTTGCTTTGTGAATTAAATATAAAACACCTACCATGTAGGAGTTCTCCCATAACTTTCTTTCCTAAAAGAAAAAACCAAGTACAGGCCTCCTTAGTCCCAGATTGTATTGAGAGAGAGAGAGAGAGAGACAGAGAGAGAGAGAGAGAGAGAGAGAGAGAGAGAGAGAGAGAGAGAGATTTCTCGGTGGGGAATATGTAACAACTTTCCTGGGCCCCCATTTCTCATCTTTTGCAGTGATACCAACTGAAACAACCGCCCAGCTCGCTGCTGCTCCCTCACTGTGGGAATGTCCTAATGCACAGAGGTGGGACACTAGTGACCATTCTTGGCCCTGGCCCCAAGCCATAGCTAACTGGCCTAGAGGTAAGCCCTGTGTATAAGCCAAGTCCATCACAGTTTTTGCCTGGGATTTTCATACCAGAACTAAAGGAACAGAAAGGAGGAGACTCAGCCTGTCTCGGGTAGTAGTCATGGAACATGAGTCCTGGGGACCACAGGAGGCCATGCCTTGTCCTCAAGGACGAGGCCAGAGGAAGACAATGACACTGAGATGCAGAAATGAAAGACACAAGCAGAGATGCAATTTTGCTAAATGGAGTCCTCGATTCCATGGGTCCCTACGACCTAGATAGACCCTTTACACAAGGCTTGCAAGATACCGCAGTGTCCGTCTAGTGAACTAATCTCTTCTTGCTTAAGGTAACTTCTTGCCTAAGGATTTCTCTCCATTGGGCTAAACTGGGTGATAATTAAGTCTGCCCCATTCTTTATCCAGCTGTGATTCTTCAATGTGGACTGAAACACCCACTGTCCTCTCATCCTGGGACCCCAAAACTTAAAGACAAGAGATATTTTTAAGACCACAGGATAATAACCCAGGAACAAAGAATTCATATTTACCCTTTCCTCTGACTTAGCTCCCTCTCCCAAAGCTAGCAGTATAAATGTTATACATATTTTTCCCTCAATTAAATAGCATTTAATACTTTACAGTGTTCTTTATCATCTAGGAAATGTATAACACCCCTACATGGAAGTGTTACTCTTTTTGCCACTGTTATACAAACTGGTATCCTGGTCTTTCCTGGCTTACATCTCCAGCCTTTCCAGGGAGCCTGGAAGAACCTATCACATCTCCACCTCTCCCAGGTCAGTCAAGCCTTAGAGCAAGAGTTTCAAATTCGGGGATCCTGACATGACTTTGCCTCTTGAGTCCACAACCCTATTCTTAGACAGGAGGTCATCTAGGCTCACACTGTCAATGGACTCCTAAAATAGCCACTTGTGCTGCCTGTAGGAAACCCTGCAATTCATTTCACTTGAACAGTGTTTTCAGCACCAATAGCACCAAGATCTGGCAATAAGTGCTGGGGAGGAAATCAGAAATGCAAACTATATGCCCCCTGGCCCCAGCAGGTCACCATCTGGGTAGGAAGAAGGCCAGTGTCACCAATAGTGGCAACCTTCTAGGAAATGTGCTCCAGGTAGGCACTACATTATCCAAGGAAAGGGAACAGTGAACTACTCCAGGAGTGCTGAGAAGGCTTGCCAAGGGAAGGCATAGCTGGTAGATGTCAACTCAGCCATTTCACAGATCTGTTAATTTTGAGCAAAGTGAACAGATCTCTGGCATGTCAGTTTCTTTCTCTGTAAAATAAAAATAACAATAGTGTTCCCTCACAAGCTTGTTGTGTGGGTAAATTAATTAATGCATGTAAAGTGTTTAAACCAGTGATTGGCACATAGTTCAGTATTCAACACCAATTAGCCATCATCATCATCATCATCATCATGAAAAAAAGTAAACAAGATTTTATCAGAGAGGCAGGCAAGGTAGGCTGTTATAGTCAGAGGGAATGACACAAGCAGAGGTGTGTCAATGAATATATTATGCCTGGAGTTTGCCTAGTTATCTCAGCAGGCTTCAAAGTCAAGTGTGTGGGGATGCCAGTAGCTAACCTGACATCCCCAGAGCAGGTGTCAGCAGACTTTTTCTGTAAAAAGTCATATAAGTGAATATTTTAGGCTTTGCAGGCCAAAAAGTCAGTGCCCTCGACTCTTTAGAAAGCAATCATTATCACCAAGAAGTTAATGGTTTTTCTTGCATTTTATACGAAAAATGTAAAAATGATTCCTTGCTCATGGTACACACAGGTTGTGGGTTTCGTTTGGCCCATGGGCCATCATTTGCCAACCCCGGCTCCAGAAGAAGGCTACAGGCTGGGCTATAAAGGGTATCGCAGGCTTTGCTAAACAGGATGAGTTTCTCTAGGCAGGGGGAAGGCAGAAGGTTTAAACAGAACTTCAAGATCAGATTTGCATGTGGTAAAGCAACACAGAGAATGGATTGGGGTGAAGAGAGAGGGGGAAATTGAAGTTGGCAGTCCAATTAGAAAATTACAATAATTGCAATGGAAGGGATATTTATACAGGGGCAGTATTGATGAGGATGCTGAGAGATATTTAGGGGCAAAATTGTCATAACTGGTTGTTAAGATTTAGGCGGTAAGAGGGAAAGAGAGACAGAGCACTAGATATATCTGCTTATCCAATGACAGATCGACCTGTACTTAGGGTGGAAGTGAGTGTCCCAACTCCAGAAGCATTCAAACAGTATAGATTCCCACCTGACATGTATTCTGTAGACAGTAATGGATGGAAATAGGAACAGATAAAGTCTCTCCTACCTCTGAGGGCCCACAATACTCTGGTTCTGTGATCGTCTTTATCAATCTTAGAGGAGCAAACGATTTGTTTAGTCAATGAGGGATATAGACAAACTTCAGCCCTCAATACAAATCACCTTAATTTTGCAGAAAGCTGTCTATTTTCTAAAGTGAGCACATCCATTATCTCTCCAAGGAGCCTAGAAACGAACTCTGAAAACCGAAACACTCTGGACAAACGTGAGATTGTGTTATTACTATTATTGTTTTTTTTTTTAAAGAATATATTTAAATTGAATACAAGACTTGGCTACATTATTTCAAATTTACTGCACCAATTCTGACTCTGATCCAGTGAATTATTCACTTCTATACCTCTCTGGCCTGCTGGACAACACGTGGCACATTGCAGTGACACACAAATGTTTGTCAATTCCTAGCAGTCCATCAAGAGCCATCTGGGAAAGCACTTCCTCCACGCAGCCTTCCACCGTGCTGACTGCAGAGAAGACGCACTGCGCCACTGCCAGCCCCCGTTGCAATGAGAGTAGTACCATTATTAACAACAACAGTTTCCTTTTGCTCAGTATTCCTTGCGTGGCAGACTCTGGGTGAGACTCTGTTTACAGACATTCTCCACTAAGCCGCTCGAGCACGCAATGGGGTGGATGCCAGTGCAGCGCCCATTTTGCAGATGAGAACGTCTCAGGGTGGAGAAGTGAGGCTCGCTCAAGTCCCTAAAGGTTAGCAATGTGCTTTCCAGTAGCAGGCTAATTTTAGTAACCCCGCCTTCTCAGTGGACACGAGGAAGGTATTTTGTATGTGTTTATTCAAGGAAGGAGAGGTTGGGGCTGCTCGGTGTGCCAGGACTGGTAATAGGTCTTCTGTCGTAGTTAGCTCCAGTGGCTCCTGCGAACACAGGCCCCCTGGCCCACCGTCTTGAAGGCGGCGACCACGGCTTCTGGGTCCCCAGGCTCCAGCCGCCGATGCGGCTGCCGACCAGCAGAGGGCAGCTGCGGGAAGCCGTCCAAGGACGGCCTCCGCCCGGGTTAGAGCTAATTAAGCCGCGAGAGGCGAGAGGCAAGAGCATTTCTGCGTGACGAAAGCAAACACGTCTACTTCTGGGTTGAGGCAGGCAGGGGCATCTGCGGGGAGGGACATTTATCGGCTTCCAGGAAGCTGGCTGGCTGGTGCCGGGGTGGCTGCCTGCGAAGGAAACTGGCCCATGGGAACCAGAGAAAGGGGGATGGGGGCGGCGGGGGGTGTCTTCAGAGAGCCCCTCTCCCCCTCAGCCAGGACAAGACCCAGAGAGTCCTCCCAGGGACAGAGATGCTGTGCAGAGGTCTGAAGGGTTGGAGCCAAAGGTGCAGCCTGTTCGGAGCAGAAAAATGACTCCAGACATACCCAGGGATGCATAAGATGCCCCCCAAGTGTGTGCTCACAAAACAGGGTGAAATACACAAGTATTTAGAGTGCCCAACTGTCTCCCCATGACTTTAAGTAACAAAACCTGGTCAATCCCAAGCAAACCACGATGGTTGGTTACTGGTCCACTGAATATACTTACAACGTGTGCACATCCACAAACACGGGCATATAGATGTAGCACATGCGTGCCAAATAAATGGCAATGCTTATTCGACAGTGCGTATGCATATTGAGGTAGACAGCCACATTGGCCTGAATTTCAGTCCTAGCTCTGCCACAGATCTGTGCCACCTTGATCAAGGTACCAAACCATTCTGAGTCTCAGTTTCCTCATTTGTAAATTGGAGGATCAGCCTAGTCTGGTTTCTTGAAATCATACAGTTTAAAAGCATTAAGTTCTCACTCAGAATTTGGGGAACTAAGTCAAATCCCCTCCCCCAGGGAAGCCTGGGACTGCTTCTCATTTCTTTACCAAATCTTCATCCGTAGAGGAAGTACCAATGAGGTGGCCCAGCTCGAGACCCAAATTATTTCATGCAAAATCACTAGGTATGTTCTTATCCGTCTATAAACATGGAAATCCTAACAATGCATCTATGATTTTTCTCCCTTTGAGCACAATCAGATTGAATATACAATTTCTTTTTCTGTCCTCTTTTTTCATTTAACTTTAATACAGAGCATATGAATTTCACAAGCATGTTTTTAAATGGCCCTGGGATGTTTCCTTATGTGGGTATCTGTACCCCTCTAGTTTGCTATTTGGTCTTTTTTTCCCCCTTTGGCTGCTATAAGTAATACTCCAGAAAAAAAAAATCATGCATATATCTTTCTCTATTTTGGGATTCTTTCTTTAGAAAAAATTTCCAGAAATTAAACTACTAAAATTAAATCATATTTTAAGACTCTTCGTGCGCATTGCTGAATTGTTTTCCAAAATGTTCGCCTTAGTTGACATATCTACCAGCATTGCATGAAAATCTCTGTATCATCTCATTCTCGAAAGCACTGACCATTCCCTTCTTGTTCTTATTTAAACTTGATAATAATTCAATAGGAAAAAAAATGTTATCTCATGGTTTTAATAAGCCTTTCTTTGATTGTTAGAGCGAACATTTTTCTTGTGTTTGTTAACCAGTTGTATGTATTTCCTCTTTTGAGAATTGTCTGTTCATGCCCTCTGCTCACTTATCTGCTGGGGTCTTAGTGAATTTAATTGATTTGCATGCGCTCTTTACATAATAAAGATAGTAATCCTTTGTCATATTTGCTGTGGGTATTTTTCCAGTTTGCTTTATGTCTTTTCCTTTGTGATTTCTTCTATCACTTCTAAGCTCATACAACCACCCCATCCTCCAGAGACTTTATAAATATTCATTTCTTATTCCTGGTATTTTTTTTTCTCCTGGGATGATTTGATTCTATAAACTTAAGATTCCATGAGACCACAAATCTATGATTTTATGCTTCCAAGATGAGCACTTCCAGCATCTTACAAGGTGTAGACTCGCTAACGTGTTTCATCTTTCCTCTTTAGCTTCCCTCACCCTTTGGATTATCACCTCCATGAGGGAAGAGACTATCTCATTCTACCTGCGTCCTATGAGTCCAGCACAGTGCCAGGCACATGGGGGAGGGTGCTAAAAAGCTACTGCTTGCTTATCTCCCTGATCTGTTCTAAGCCCTGGAGAATGCTCCAGTTTGAGCCCCATGTCCAAGTGCACTGAATGGATGGTCCGATATGAGGCGGGACACTCCCTAAGACAGTGGGAGGGCATTACCAGAAGAGAGGACAGCAGTAGCCGAATCAAAAGCATGAGAGAACATGGCATGCAGAAAACAATGCATAGTCTAACATGCCAAGAGTGCAGGGTGTGTGTGCTTGTGATAGGAGCTGTGGCTGGAAATGTAAGTTGGACCCCACTCATAAAGGGCTCTGCAGACAATTTTGGAACTTCAGCCACAAAAATTACATTCTCCACAGTACAGCCAAAGTGATCTTTTTAAAAGGTAAATCTGATCATGTCGTTCTTCTGCCTCACACCCAGCAAAGGCTTTCCTTTGCTGTTAGGACACAGTTGAGAATCTTGTTATAGCCTCCAGGGTCCTGCCTTCCTCATTCATCGTGCCCCCTTCTTTTCTCCCTTGCTCACATCCCAGCCTCTTGCTGTTCCACGGCTATGCCCAGCCCACCCCATGGCCGGGCTTCTGTGACTGCTGTTTCCCTGCCCCACTGACGCCTGAGCCCAGTGCTACACATGTGTGCTTCTTCCCTTATTTGGGGTGAAGTTCAAATATGCAAGGTTGCCCACCCTCCCATCACTCTTCTCTTTCCCCTTGTTTTGCTATCTTCATCCAACTTCTCACTATCTAAAGGGATCTTCTTTATCAGCATATCTATTTTCTGTCTCCCCTTTTCTTGAGTGTTAAAGTTCAGAGGGGCAGAGACCTTCCTCGTGTCATTTACTGCCGTAGTTCCATCACACAGACAGTGCCTGGCAGGCAGAGCGGGTGGCTAGATGTTGCTTGCCTGTATTAAGCAAACTCATGGGCAGTTGGAACCACAGGGAAATGGGGGTGTGCGTAGGATCAGGTGTGTGTTTCAGGGAGATAATTCTGCTGGCATGGCAGAGAATGGCTTGGAGCTGGAGAGACCAGGGGCTGGGAGAAGGAATAATGATACGTGGACATGACTGATACCAGAACCTTTTCCGAGGGCAGGATTTGATCCAGGGAGAGCTAGAGATGGAAGAGTGCTGCGGCGCACTGGGGATTGGACAGGAAGAAATGCGTGTGCAGAGTGAGCACTCTACAGGCATCCAAACAAACATTAGCAGTCATAATTAGAGCTAGTATGTATGCAGTGTTTTAGCCTTCAAAGACTTTGACACTATCTCATGATGACCATTCAAAGTAGGCAAGGCATAGGCTGCCATCTCCATTTCACAGACAAGAAAACTGAGGCTCTGGAAAGTAACCCAGGTCGCACAGCTCGTGAGCAGCAGACATGGGTAGGAGCTGAGGTCCTGATGTTCAGCACTGCCTGAGAAATGCCTGCAAATGCTGCCGCCGCACCCTCCTCCACGGAACGTTTCATTGGGTAAAATCATACCTCAGGGTTAACGATCTGGATGAATAATCTTCCCCACCTTCGGGCCTGGAGAACAGAACTGCAGCACCACTTCCTGCCTTAAGAGAGTTAAAATATCACAAGTCAGAGAGGAGGCCATTTGCCGCCACATTAACAGTAAATGCCATTTGTTCCCAGTGATATCTCCACATCTGACTTTTTTTTTCCCTCCCCTGTGGCTGAAATTACAACAAAATGAGGCAAGGGCCAAGAGAAGGAAGAGATAAACAAGGGTCGGAAAGAGACAGGGAGTGACGCCTCTGTTGCAGTAGGCAGACAGGCTGAGAGACCCAGACCTCCTTATCCCCTCTACGCTGGAGCCAGAAACCTCTTTATTGAGGTAGCAATTACCGGTGGCTCAGCAGGGAGCCAGGGGGACAAGTCCAGTGAAGAAGTATCTGGACGCATGAGCTGGAGAGGTAGAAAGAGGGGCTTGGACTAGCTTAGGAGTCTTCTGAATGGAATAGCTCTCCTCCCTCCAACTTGGCATGCTCACAGCTTACCTGTTGTCCAAATGCCATCTGCTTCATGAAGCTTACATAGGTCACACTAATCATTTTAATTCAGAGCTTGCACATATCTGTCATGTTTCTTTGGCTAGGGAGAAAGAAGGGAGAAGCAATAAGGGCACCCAGACCCACACCGATCCTCAAACCTGAAAAGAAAGCATGGCTTTAGAAGGTGCTAAATTAGTATCTTCCACTCTTCAGACCCTCCCAGCAATGCGCATCTAGATGCAAGTAGAGGGGCCATTTGAAAAGCCTTATCCCTAGATGCTGACAGTGGTCCCAGAATAATGTGGATATGTGGAGATATTGTTTGTAGGGAAATAAGGTTGAGGGCATGAGGTCTCACTGCCCATCCTCCCAGAGCATACCAAACCAGGTTTTTCCTTCAACTGGTTTTTCCTTTCCCTCCTTCCTCCCTTCCTTCTTTTTCTCTGCTGTTCCTTTCTTTCTTCAATTTTTTCACTCACTCATCCTTCCTTTTCTTCTTTCTTTGTTTTTTTTCCTCTCTCTTGTTTCTTTCTCTGAACCTGAATTCATATTTTTATATATATTTCCTGTGTTAAAAAATGAGTTCTTCCTTTACCACTCAGCTCAAGACATACTGTCTGCAAATCACTAATAATGAAATTGGGTGGTTTCCCTCTGGCTGTATGGTATATAGTAGCCCACAGATAAACAGAGGCATCATTGTAAGGGAAAGGAGTGTGTGTGTGTGTGTGTGTGTGTGTGTGTGTGTGTGTGTGTGTGTGTGCATCTAATGATTCCTGGAAAACGGAGGAGCAAGGGGAGAGGGCACAAGCCAGATTCATTCATTCATTAATTCATTCATTCAATCAAACAAGTATTTGTTGCAAGTTCACTGCAAGCCTGGTGCTGTGCTGGCCCCGGCCTCCCGGAGGCCCCAGCATTGTACAGAAACAGGTGAGTGAGCTCAGCCCTGCGGTAGAGGCCACATGGGGGGTGCAGATGAAGGACATGCAGCAGAAGCAATGGTCTTGGGGTCGTTTCTCAGAACAACTGACACAGCTCAAGCAAGAAAGGGCTGTGTCTAAGGGGGAAAGAGGATGGTGAAGTTCCAGAAGCCCTGCCAGCCAGCACCGGCAAGAAGGGTGTGCAGGGCGCAGCACGGGAGCAAGACATCTCTCCGTGTGCACGTGTGCATGCTTGTGCCTTTAACTGGGGAAAAAGCAGTGTTGACTATTCAGACTCTGCGTGTACACAGCCTTCTCAGGCTTTCCTAGAAGAAACACTCTGGTGTTTCTGGTAAGCTGGTCTGGTTTGGATTTTGTTGAAAATTATTGAAAATGCAGAGAGCAGAAGGGCTAAACGCTGAGAAAAGGATGCTGTTTTAAAATATAGGTTGTATTATCATTCATGTGTAGTGAGGCTAATAGCTCAGAAGGCGATCGCCTTTGAAAAGGGGGTTTGTTTAACTCACAATCCCAAGACAGGGTACAGCAAACCCCGGTGGTCCATGCACCGTGCAGGGAGGCCCCACGGCCAGCCACGGGGGCAGAGGAAAATACGGACAAGAGCATTTATTGTGGCTTCCGTCGGAAGGTTTGGCAAGGCAGGGTGAGCAGGCTCAGCATTGGCTATTTGAAATCATTTCAGTGTTCTCTGGGACAGAGGGGCTGTCCCTAGTAGCCTGGTACCTGGCCCTGGAGTGATTGGGACAGGAGAATAGTGGCCCAGAGCACAAGAGACCAGTAAAGGATGTGGGTTTGGGCTCTGGATTGGTCAATATGCATGTGAAAGACACACTTGCAGCTGAGCCTTTTACTGTCTCTAGGGGTTGGCTGGCCTTGGGAGGGGCAGTCCCTCCAGGGTCAGCAAGGTCCCAAGATGTCAAAACACCAAAGAATAGGAAATAAAAAGGCATGGGGAATACAGACATCAGGAGAGGGTGGGGATCAGGGTGGGGCGGGAAATGACAAGCAGCAAAGGTGTGGATGCAGGTAAGGGGGAAAGAGGCGGGCTGAAGAGCATAACTGTGTTTCAGAGTGTGGGCGTATGTTTTTGTGTGTCCGAGATAGAGAGAGACAGAGATAGTAGCTGTGACAAGGAATGGAACGTTGGAGAAGGAACCAGGATAAGTAGAGGAAACACTTAGGACACTTTGCTGCATGATGGACATGTCAGTTCCTCTTTTATTAAATCAGCATTGTTCATTAATGCTTTCAGACATGGATTTAGGGAGGGGGTGGTGTTATAATAACATATGAGAGACTGCCCTAAGATATCCCATTACTATTTAGATTTTTATGTCTGTGTTTTAGTCAAATGCAATAGTTTTCAAACTTTTATGAGACATGGAATCTTTTCTCCAACTAAGAGCTTATGCAGAAGTTCAGTACATAAAAAGGACAGAAACAAATGTACTCTGTGTGAAGATGGGGTTTTCAGGCCCTGCCAGCCCAGCTCCTCTTGGTCCCCACAGTAGCCCCTGGGGCCCCTCTACCCAAATGGCAAAGCTTCCCCGAGCATATTTTAAAAACCTCTGTCCTGGGGCAGTGATAACCCTAAGGACTGGAGCTACACTTGGGGAAGAATTTAAGCCTGGGGACAGGTTTGAGATAAAGTGCAGGTCTCAGATGTGGCCCCTTTCTGGAGGGGCTCACTCTAAAAATGGCTCCACTCTGGAGAGGACTTACACACCTGTTTAGGGAAGAAGTTCAGAGAATGTGCTTTTTCAGTCATATGAATCAAGGTTTGAAACTCACCTCTGATCTTTGAGCAAATCACTGGAACCTTTTGGGCCTCAGTTTTTAATCCATAAAATAGGATACATAGCATGTATCCTAAAGCATGGTAATCAGAATTAAATGGGAAAATGTATTAACTATTGTGTTTAATTGGTAGTAAGTGTTGTGTAAATGTAGACTACTATGTGTAGCCTCCTGCGTATTTTTCCCCAAAGGAACTGAGCAAGTCATACAAGTTTGGCCTCCAGAAGGCCTTTCTAGCTCTCAGAGCTGTACAAAAATAAAATGGAATATCTGATGGTGGTGAGTTTCCGAATTTGAGGGATGTTTAAAGAGGGGTTCAAGACACAGGGATATTGCCAAGTGGATTAATTGATTAAATGAGGGGTGAGACAACATGATTTTCCTAGGTTTGTTCCAATCCTGCAAATCCAAGTGTTGTGGTTTCATAACTCTTGTTCCAGTCAATTATAAGATCTTCTGATATGAAGACTTCATCAGTGTCCAGATCTGATAAACCAGAGGTGACTAAGGCTCAGACTTAGGTTCCTTATAGGTATGTTGAAGGTGGAAAGAGGGGAAGGCTGGGTCATGTGGGGGCAGGAAGTCAGTGTGGAGCCTCTCAGTTTAGCTCTTCGCAAGGCTGCCAGCTCTCAGATCACTCAGGTGGATGAAACTTCCTGAAATATTAACAGGTCACAGGCAATTGCTGCTCCCCAACCCAATTAGAACCTAATTTGGGGAAGTATGCTTTTCTGAAGAGGTTCATTAGCCACATGCCACCTCCCTCAATTCTGCAGTGCAGGAAAGACGGATGGGCGCAATACGTTGGCACTTGGCTGATGCCCTGGGAGAAAAGACAGATGCATTGAACTAGATGGGAACACCAATCACTTTGGACCAGCCAGTCATTGGCAACCCCGCCCATCACCCAGCACATAAGGGCCTTCGGGACGGCATTAGGAATGCCAGCGTCCCTCCTCCATGTAATTCTAACATTCGAGGGGCCTTAGAAGTCTTTAGTCTAAGCAACCTCTCGCCTTACAAAAGAGTCCCCTCCACTAAGACACTAACCTTGAGGCTTAGGGCTTGAGCACAGGGAGGGTAAGGGACTCCCTCTTGCCCCAGGTAACCTAGACGGCTCTTGTCATAGAAAGCAGCTCCTGAGACACACTCTCTGTCCTTCCCCAGATGACCTCTACGTTCGTCCCCAAATGGAGCTTTGTCTTGCTTGTACTTGCCCCTCAGCTAGTTAGATGTTCTCTTCCTGCTTCTCTTCTCAAGAGAAAACACTGTTAGTTTCTTCAAATGCGTTTGTCTGTACTTCCAGGCCACCCACTGTTCTGGTCCTATGTGCCACCACCCACCTTTGAACACATTATTTTAGGTCTATAAATTTGCTAGCATATGGTGCCCCAAACTGGAGACAATTCTTCAGGTGTCACCCGGCGATTACAGAATGCAGCTGACCTAGTTCCTCCATTCTGGAAATTTCATCATGATGCCTCAAATAATGGACATGTTTTACTGAGTGTCACCATGTGCCAGGTGTATGCTAAGCTTTACACTTTAATCTTTAACCCTGTGGGGAGGTATTATCCCAATATCACAAAGGAAGTAGCCAAGGCATGGAATAGTTAAATAATTTTTCCAAATCCCTAACTATCTATTTTTGAAGTCAGGATTTGAATCTAGGACTCTCAAACTTTCAGCCACTACTCTATTCTGCCTGTGTGTGAGATCAGTCGTCACATCATCGTCATTTATGATAAGTTTGTAATGTTTAGTGGTGTATACGATGTGTTTTCCTATACAACTCATTTTATTCTTAGAAAGTTGCTATCCCGCTAGTCCCCTAGAACCTCAATATTTATGCCCCATGAGAGGCCCTCAGGTCAGGTGGACCCCATCTGATACTATGTTTTTAATTTTTTTAAATGTAAATAAAGTGCAAGAGTTTACACATCCCTTTAAATTTCATTTTGATTGTTTCTTATGATGTTTCCACCCATTGGCATAATTTTGAGTTTTTGTTTTGCTATCCAGTGTGTCTGCAAGCAACATCTATACACCTAGCCAGCATCCCTTCTTTATATTCAGCCCAATCATGCTGACAAGCGTTGACAAACACCAGTCCAAGGACAGAAACCTGTATCTTAACCCTGGTGAGTTACCCTGATAATTCAACCACGAACTGATCTACCTGGTTATTCTAGCCCACTGGTTTCCAAACCATGATCTTCAGAATCAGCTGGGGATCACTGTGATTACAAGAACCCACCCAGGACTATCTCAGTTATAATGTGTGAGAAATAAGTATGTTGATATAACTCCCTAGAGATTTTTGGTTGTCTCTCAGGAACACTTAGATGCCACTAATCTA